GATTTTGGGATGTAAATGGATGACACATCAAGACTAATTGATATTTGAAAAAGAGGGATTTAAGATAAAGATGAGAACAACTAATAAGTGAAAGATTTATTTGAGATGGGTTTAATTATTACAGAATTTTTTAAAGATTTAAACGATAAAAAAATTGTTTTCACAGGAACTAAAACTGAATTGGATGTTAATTTATGTTCTAAAGATAATTGGACAAGTATATAAAATGTTATTCAAGCTGAATCTAGAACAGACATGTTAAACTCAAGGCCTGCCAACTAGATCTGGCCCATGATGTGTTTACATCTGGCTTGCAAGCAGACCAGGAGGAGGAGTGGTTGAATAGTTACCTCGTCATTTCTTCGGGAATCTTGTCAGTGGCAGCAGCACTACAGAGGAAGGGCAGCGGGAGCCTCTCCAAACATATGGAGCTGTGCTGCAGCAGTAACCACAGGGCTGGGTGGACATGGCTAAAGCACTCTCTGCCTGAAAGCAAGTGGCTGGCAAGGAAAGGAAAGGGAGGAAAGGAAAGAGAAAGGATGGAAGGCACTTGGGTGATGTGTTTCTTTAGTTCTTCCCCTTCCCTGCCTCGGTGCCTTTCCTTCCTCCTCTTCCTTCACCTGTGCTGCTCTCTTCCTTCACCAAGTAGCCACTCTCATCGCAGATTTTTCCCCAAAGACATGAGGAAATGTGAGGCAGAGGGCTCACGCGGGCTGGGCCTGGACCAAAGCTAGTCGAGAAACCACATGCTGCTCAAGTGCACTTGCTTTCTTCAAAGCTGCTTGATGCCCCTCCGGGCAAGAGATCTGTGGCTTGGTCTCTCTACTGCTCAGACTCTCCCATCTCAGGTTATTGGGACCTTAAGAGTGCCACAAAGAATGCAGCCCCCTGATACCCCAGAAGTCTTACATGCAACTGGCCCTTTGATAGCAGTCATAATGCTGATGCAGCCCTCAATGAAATTGAGTTTGACACCCTTGATCTAGAAGATGAATATATTAGTATATGGTAAAATGGGCAAAAAATAGGTATAATTTAACACTAGATAAATGGAAAAATGTATGGATGAAGGGACTAAAATTTACATTAAATTATAGTTTGAAAGAAAACTTTTATAAAATGCTGTATTGTTGATGCTTGGCCCCAGATAGACTAGCAAAAATGCTTAAAGGGATTTCTAATAAGTGCTGGAAATGTAGTCAAAATCCAGTTTCATTTTATCATATCTGGTGGCCTTTCAAATATGTGAAAACATACTGAATAAATATAACAATGGCAATGCAAAAATAATTAAGATACAAATATTAATTAAACCTGAAGCTTTTCTTTTAGGGCAAATCAATTGAAAAATGATTCGGGGTGTTATTCCTTCACATGGTGATGGCTGCAAGGATTGTAGTTGCCAAACACTGGAAAGAAAAAGAGATACCAACTGTTGAAGAATGGATTTTGAAATTGACTGAATTGGCAGAGATGGCAAAATTAACTGTTTTGATTAGAGATAATGGACTAGACAGTCCATTATAAGATGAAGATGAAGGTTCATTCTCGGAACTTGTGGGTTGGTTTCCGAATGTTTCATTACCAGGCTAGGTAACATCTTCAGTGGCTTTTAGGGGATATCTGTTTCAGTATTTTTCTGTTTATAAGGGCTTCAGATGTGGGTGTGTGAAGTGAGGGTCTTGTGATGGGTCAAGTGTGAGTCATCAGTGAGAGGTTTGTGATGGGTCTTGTGATGGGGAGGTTACATCAGGTCAGGGTCATTGGGAGGTGAACTGCTGGTGTGGGGACCTTGCATGGGTTGGTTGAGGGTCGGTGCTGTCTCTGGTTGGCTGTGCAGTTGATATGGATTCTGAGGGGTTCGTAGGCTGGTTGTTGATCAATGTGTCTATTGATGGAATTGCTTGCAAGTGCCAGGCTTCGATGAACTCATAAGTATGGCAGGTGGTAGCGTGGCTGATGATTTTAGTGTTGCTCCAATCGAAATAGTATTGTCTGGTGTCAGTGTGGGTAGAAATGAGGAGGAGTCCTAGTGGACAGTCACTTGTATGGGCCAGCAGTGTGCTGCAGCTGCCAAAAAAGTCAATGCAATCCGAGGCTGAATTAACAGAGGAATAGAATCAAAATAATGCAAAGTGTTAATACTACATTATAAGGCCTGGGTAAGACCGTGCTTGGAATACTGCATCCAGTTTTGGCCATCACAATATAAAAAAGATGCTGATACTCTGGAAAGAGTGCAGAATAGAGCAACAAAGATAATTAGGGGGCTGGAGGCTAAAACACATGAAGAATTGTTACAGGAATTGGATATATCTAGCAAAAAGAAGGATTAGGGGCAACATGATAGCAGTATTCCAATATCTGACAGACTGCCACAAAGAAGAGGAGGTCAACCTATTTTCCAAAGTAGCAGAAGGAAAGATAAGAAACAATGGATGGAAACTAATCAAGGAGAGAAGTGAGGGGCACTTGACATGAATTATGTAACTTGTTAACTAACATACCATAAATGCCGGCGTATAAGACGACTTCCGCGAGCGCTGAAATCGGCACCAAAGACGGGGGTCGTCTTATACGCCGAGTCGTCTTATACGCCAGAAATACTGGTAGTTTCCGGCGTATAAGACGACGTTCTAGGAATGCGGCCCGGCTATAAAGACGGGGGTCGTCTTATACGCCGGGTCGCCTAATACGCCGGCATATACGGTAATTACTTTGTATTTGAATTTAACTTATTTCTCTCTTTTATGAGGATTTATCAAACCACTATAAATTAGAAGGTAAGAAAACTTCTAACATTCCTAAACTGAAAATGTAACTACAGAAGAACGGATGGATACTATTTTAATGCAAAACTGGCATTTGGTATGTCTCTTCTTGAACTTCAAACAACCTTTGTAGTTGCTTTACTGTGCAAAGGAGAGGTTATTTTTATCCTGTCCAAACAACTTTCCTTTTGCATTTTTTTGTTGTGTTAACTATAAAAGGGAATGTAAGATGGGTCTTGAGGTTCTCCTTTTTATAGATAGATCCCACATTATCAAGGCACCCTAATAAATTGCTTTTAAATAATTTTCTAAATTGATTGCTTATTGGGAAGGTAAACCAAGGAAGAACCTAGGGCCAAATTTGGCTATCAGAAGTAATCTAGAACTAAGGAGAAATTTCCTGACAGTGAGAACAATGAACCAGTGGAACAGCTTGCCTCCAGAAATTGTGGGTGCTCCATCACTGGAGGCTTTTAAAAAGAGACTGGACAACCATTTGTCTGAAATGGTACAGGGTCTTCTGCTTGAGCAGGAGTTGGAATAGAAAACCTCCAAGGTCCCTTCCAACTCTATTATTCTGTTATTCTGTTATTTAACTTAAATAATCTGAGCTGTCTCCCCATTCAGCATGTGTCATAACGATAAATTAAGTTATTTGTTTGATTTTAATCAGCAAATTATATTTGTGGTGCCAGAATTCTTGAAATATTTGATATGGTTCAGTTGCTAATTTATAAATTGAGGCTTGCTTTACTGTCGCTTAGATAATTGCATGCACACACAAAAAAGGGACAGGATCAAAACCATTATTTTGACTTTTTCTGAAAGCCCACCCATCACACCCCAGATGCTATTGCTCAAAATAGAATGTTAATATTTGTGCTGCACTGAATATTTTAAGCATAAATATGTAGTGAATTAAAATCAACACTGCTATTTTTTGTTAGTGGTCTATAGCACAGATAATGAGGAATGATAATTAATTCTTCAATATAATGTCACTATGTGTAGTATACCACCATGATAATGCAACTGAAATGCATGAGAAATATAAAATACACACTTTTTCAAGTAGACGTACATAACTGAACATCCTATTTAATGGTGTCCATATTTGCCATGGATATATTCATTCCCAATATCCAAAAATATCTAGAAGATTTTAAAGCATTTGATTCTGAAAACAAAATCAATGAAAGATTTTCTCCCTTTAATTTAGTTAGAATGTTCAATTATTTCTTTTTCTCTTCCAGCAAAGTTTTAAGATTTGTTTTCAAAAATAAAGAGGAAGATGCCTAGAGGCATTGACAGAATCTAATGCTTTCAACAAAATGGCAAAAATAGCACTGCACTTTCACAACAAAACTCTGTTCCTTCACATCACAAACACCACCTATTTTATACAGACATGCCACAGCACGATACATATACAAAAGGAAATGAACTGCCATTGATGCAACACTGTTTTTCTCATTTGCACCTTTTTGACTTCCACTGCAGAGATCTTTGAAGATGACATGCATCATCACAAATTATGAAAATACCACATGCCACAATTATATAAGTAATTTTTCTTGGTAATATGTTTTCTTATCTTCTAACTTCAATTACATATCACTCTTGCTTATGGTAGAATACAAACAGTACATTGGAGAATCTTGATTTAGACTAATTCTACAACAATGTTAAGTAGAAGGCAAAACAGGAAGCAATGGATGAAAACTGACTAAGGAGAGAAGCAACCAAAACTAAGGAGAAATGTCCTAACAGTGAGGACAATTAACCAGTGGAATGATTTGCCTTCAGAAGTTGTAGGTGCTCCATCATTGGAGGCTTTTAAGAAGAGACTGGAAAGCCATTTGTCTATGTGTTGGGGGGTTGGACTAGAAGATCTCCAACGTCCCTTCCAACTCTGATGTTCTCAGTCCTATTACTTGCAAATGGTCAGCTCCCATCCCTTTAACAGCAGTGCAGAACAGATTTCAGCAGCAAATATAGTTTGCTTTTCTATCTCTTACCTATTGCTATCTCTTGTCATATTTCCCCCTTGAAAAGTTCTATAGATGTTTTCAAAATTCCAAAGGACATTCTAGCTATGCCCAGTTTTGCCATATAACCACTCACCAAGTCCAAACAATTACCCTGTGTAGAAACACCTACTGGTAGCATTCATGTCTTCAGTAAGAAATTACTTTTAGAGCTGACATCACTTCAAGGCATTGATGATACCTGATACAAACGATGTGATGCAATATGCTGAGCTGTCACTCTGTCTTACTCCTCCCTGTGGCCAAATCAAGAGAGCCTGCAACTCAAGATCTGCATCTCATGCTTAGTTCAGGGATTTTGCCAGATCTGGGGAAACACAAGAAGCATTTCAGGAATGAATATCAAAATAGGGCAAATTTTATAATATAAAATCATTCCCCATTTATTAGCAAGGGTCATGGCTTAAAATTACTTGCTGTACAGCAGTAAGGGTAATATGGTTAAAGTGCAATATAGTCAAATAAACTCACATGCTATTTCAATGTATTTTAAAGACTGAGTGGTTCACAGATGTTTAGAAGTATTAAAACATACAGTGGTATCTTGGTACTCATCAGTAATTGGTTCTGGGAGGCACAATGAATACAAAAAATGATGAATACCAGACAAATTGTTCCCATAAGGAATAATGTAGTGAGTGACAAGGCAGCTGATACCGACAAGTTCTAGCTTGTGCTTTGAGTATCAAACAAATGATGAATATTAGGACAAAATTTTCAAAATGCGTTGGGGACCAAATTTGATGAATTTCAAAGCAATTGAGTACCAAGGTACCACTGTACTTGGAGACAATAATACAGCTGGTTTGGATTGTTGCTGTTTTAATACAAGAATCAATCATCAAAAGAAATATATAGTTTATTAATCTAACCATGACAACATTATACTGACAAAAACATTTAAGCAAGACTCAGTGAAATAAAACTGTTATGTCCTGGGAGCAATGGTGAATGAAGAATACACATGTCTCTGGAACAGCTCTTTATTGTGCTTATTTCAAACTCCAACAACGAGCAAAGGGACGCAGGCCTCCTTTTATATATCCCAATTTCACAGACAAGATGGCAACATCACTAGGCACTTTTTGCACCTTGCACATGTGCGCTCGGCCGGCACCACTCAGTCTGGTCCCGGGCAGCTTTTGCAATTGCCCGGAAACCTCGCAATGTCCTGAGCCTGCATTTGCAGGCTCAGGACACAACACCACCCCCCCTGAGCTAGAACACACACAGTACTTGTTCTTACAATCCATACAAGAATATAAAATAATATATTAAAAATAATAATAATTTTTTTCCATCCTACAGACACTCCATTCTACTACAACTTGTTTGCCACTCTCTAATGTGTACTTCGTGGGTTCTATTGCTAACCCACATAGGTTCCATCTGCTCACCATAGACTTGTACTGTTCTTATGCTGACAAGAACCTTACATACTCATCTAGGTGTTTAGGAGAGGCCTTAACCTGTTGGGACCTATGCAGGATTAGGGGGGTTGGCTGGCCTGACAGCTCCCCTGCCCGACTGGACAGACCAGAACTTGACCTTAAGGGTGCCTGGCCTACTGGCCCGTTTGATGGGCTCACTAGACCAGGACTTTTATGCACAGGTTTTGCAGGTGACCCCTGATAGGGCATACTGACAGAAATGCCAGAGTTTCCCCCAGGCTCTGTGAGAGCAGCTGCACTCTCTCAATCTTCTGAGTTGGCTGAGGATTCCAAAACTATTCTGGATGGTTCCTGAGAACATATGTCCTCAAACCCGTGACCGTTCTCGGACGTGCCCTGTGAAACAGGTGTGTGTAAGGGGCCCCAGTATTCGGTGGACCCCAAGGTCATGCCTGAGGTGCCAGAGTCAGGAGAGGCCTCTCTGCTTGCCCCCCTTACATAGGACCTCCTTTTGGAAGCAGTTGCAGAATTGAACCTGCTTCCTAGCTGGGTTGCCAGTTCTTGCGTGTTCTGCGAATTCTGTGGATACCCCCAGTTATCCTCCCTGTCTGGAGTGTTACTGTTTCTATATGGAATATGTGGATGCCCCCAGGGTGACTCCCTGGCTGGAGTGCGTCTTGGTGTGTAGGGTAGTTCTCTGCCCCATGAATTCTTGTTTGGAGCACTTGCAGAATCTCGGGATGGAGGATCAACGATCTCTTCAGCTGCCGGCACTGGCTGCTGACATTGATCCTCAGAATGCATTCTATAACCTTCCTCCCCCTCCCACAGAACAGAGCCAGGAGCGGGTAAGACTCCAGCCTCGCATGCAGCTGATCTATGTGCCGCTGCAGAACATGGCCGTCTTCCAGTGACACTTCATAGGACAAGGGCCCTGAGACCTTGCAGACCACAGCTGGTACCCAGACATGACCAGGCCCATAGTCCAGACCGGAGCACCCACTTGCAGGCTCCTTAGTGCCCATGGATGCAACACCTGAGATGCCCCCCTATCCGGATGCAGCCTGTCCAGCTTAGTAATAAGCCGGCGACCCCAACAAAGTTCAGCAGGGCTCTTCCTGGTGGCTGTGCAGGATGTGGTGCGATGTGCAAGAAGAAAGTCTGCTAACCTGTGATGCCAGTCACCGTAAGTCAGTCTCTTAAGGGCATCCTTGGTAGTGCACACCATACATTCAGCCATTCCGTTGGTGGATGGGTAGAAAGGAGCAGAAGTTGCATGGCGGATCATGTTGGCCTGGAGGAAAACCTGGAACTCAGAAGAGGTAAATTGAGGACCATTGTCTGAAACTAGAACATCTGGAAGGCCATGAGTTGCAAAATACTTTTCAGCACCTGGATGGTCTTGGCAGCAGTAGTGGAGGACACAGGAACAGCCTCTAGCCACTTAGAATGGCTATCAACAACAACCAAGAAGAATTGCCCCTGAAAGGGCCCAGTGTAATCTATATGTACCCTGGACCATGGGGTTTGAGTTTCCTCCCATCTATGAACTGGGGCCTGGGGCATTTCAGGCCGTGACTGTTGGCACAGCTGGCACCCATGCACTTGAGCCTCAATGGCTTTATCGAGGCCAGGCCACCACAAATGGCTATGTGCAAGCGCCTTCATCCTGACTATGCCAGAGTGTCCCTCATATAAAGAATGCAGCACTCTAGTCATCAATGAGGTAGGGATTACTACCCTACTTCCCCATAGCAGACAATCCTTGGAAGTGGACAAATCATGTCTTCTTTGCCAGAAACTCTGAAACTCAGTATCGGGGCATCTGTCAGGCCATCCTGACAACACCCATGACAGAACGCGTGTGAACGTGTGGTCAGTGGTAGTTTCTGCAGCCACATCCCTTGCATTGAGGGGAGATTCAGGCAGCTCTTGAATGGACAGAATATTAATGGCTGGAGCAGGAGCAGGCTCCAGTGTTGGAAGGGGTAATCTACTCAGAGCATCAGCATGACCCATGGCTTGTGAATTAAAGAGTAGTCATATGCTTGTGAATTAAAGAGTAGTCATATGCTGATAGGAAAATGGACCAACGCAGCATACGAGGAGAAAGAATATGTGGGGTCTGTTTGGTCGTAGTGAACAACCCTAGCAGTGGCTTATGGTCAGTGTAGACCATGAAATTGTGGCCATGTATGAAATCATGAAACTTCTTAATGCCAGCCACAATGGCCAGCATCTCCCTGTCAATCTGAGCGTAGTTCCGCTCAGCAGAAGACAAGGTTCTGGAATAATAAGCCACAGGGACCTGTGTCCCATCAGCCAACAGATGGCTAAGAACTGCCCCCACTCCATATGGAGACGCATCGCAGGCAATGCAAACAGGTAACTGCTCATTGAAGTGAGCCAGTACAGCATTAGAAGTAAGCAAGGCCTTAACCTCATTGAAACTTTTTTCATGGACCTTAGTCCACTACCAACAGGCTTGTTTGTCTAAGAGCCTGTGCAATGGCTCAGCTATAGCAGCTTTGTTTGGCAGAAAGGCATGGTAAAAGTTTAGTAGCCCCCAAAAGGCTTGTAGTTCCCCTTTAGACTTAGGGCTTGGGGCCTGCTGAATGGCCTTTAATTTAGCTTCAGAAGGGTGGATACCTTGAGCATCTATCCTGAGTCCCAAAAAGTCAGTAGAATTGACTCCTATCTTACACTTGTCCTTTTTTAACTTGAGACCTGCTACCCTAAAATGAAGCAAGACAGCCCTTAATCTCTCAGCCACATTTTGAGGTGATTTTCCTGCAATGAGGACATCATCAAAATATGGACAGACTCCTGGAATACCCCTCAGTGTGTTATCCATAATACTCTGGAAAATGCTAGGGGCTACATTTACCTCAAATTGCAATCTCTTCACTTTAAAAGCTCCTCTATGAGTCACAGTTGTCTGAGACTCAGCAGCTGCCTCATCAACAGGCAACTGTTGATAGGTCTGTGCCAGGTCAAGCTTTGCAAAAATCTGCCCCCTCTTTAGGGAAGCCAGAATGTGACTTATTACAGGTACTGGATAAGTGTGTTGCTGTAGTGCCTTGTTTAGTGTGCACTTGTAGTCCGCACAAATACAAATATCCCCATTAGCCTTTAAAGGGGGTTTCCCAAGGACTAGAATCTACAGCAGCGGTTCTCAACGTTTGTGTGACGGCGACCCCCGTCACACAAACGTTATGCGCATGCGTGGTGCGGCGCGCATGGGGCGTCCCCCTGCACGGTGCACATGCGCGCCGCCCCCTGCACGTGGCGTGCATGGGGATGCCCCCCTGCGCACGGCGCGCATGCGTGGCGCCGCCCCCACACGAGGCGCCGCCCCCACATGAGGCACCGCCCCCCCGCACGGCGCCGCCCCCACACGCGGCGCCGCCCCCGGAGGCGCGCCGCCGCCCCCCGGGGGCGCGCCGCCACCCCCACGCGCGGCACGCGTGCGCAGCACCGCCCCCCCGGAGGCGGGGTGCACCCCCAGAGGGGACAAAATGGCGGATCGCCGCCTTTGGCGACCCCCAGAAAGAGGTTGATCGACCCCAAATGGGGTCGAGACCCATAGGTTGAGAACCGCTGATCTACAGGCTCTAGAATGCCCTGCTGGAGCAATTTGTCCAGTTCAGCATCAATCTTGTTTTTAAGTGCAAACGGAACTCTCCTAGACTTGACCCTAATGGGTGCTATGGATGGATCTAATCGTAGTGAAACTGGAGGCCCCTTGTAGGTTCCAAGCTCAGAGCTAAACACATCTGCAAATTCCCTGCAGACTTCTGCAAGACTAGACGTTTCCAAATGGTGCAGCCCTGTGACCTGAATTCCCAGAGCCTCAAACCAATAGAGTCCAATAAGACTCGCACGTTCACCCCCAACAACCAACACATCTAAAGGA